CCTCACTATTCAAAAAGGAACAGTCTATTTAACTTCAGGAGTAGAGTTGGCTTGGTCATGATACAGTGCCTCTGGGACAGGGGATGTGATGTGGTGAGATTGCAGCAAGGATATAGGGGAAGTGAGAAGAAATAACCTTCATGTCTTAAGCTTGATCTATACACAGTTTTAGTACTGGTATAATTATTTGGTATGAGGTGTGATTTATTTATCTATCTAAACCAAAATAGTTAAACCGATACAATTCCTTGTATGGATGCAATTATACCAATATAAAAGTACCTATTACCAATGGTTCTTAACAAGGGGTATGCATATCCTTGGGGGTACACAGAGGTCTTCCAGGTGGGGTACATCAACTCATCTAGGTATTTGCCTAGTTTTACAACAGGCTACCTATAATGCATTAGTTAAGTCAGTACAAACCAAAATTTCATACAATGACTTGTTTATACTGCTCTATATGCTATACACTGAAATGTAAGTACAATATTTTTATTCCAATTGATTTATTTTACAATTTTATGGTAAAAATTAGAAAGTAAGCAATTTTTCAGTAATAGGGTGCTGTGACACGTTTGTACTTTTATATCTGATTTTGTAAGCAAGTAGTTTTTAAATGAGGTGAAACTTGGGGGTATGCAAGACAAATCAGAGTCCTGAAAGGGATACAGTAGCCTGGAAAAGTTGAAAGCCACTGCCTTATACTGTGTATGTGCAGCTTATTTACTCTTCCTGTACAGGAGTAGCTATAATGGTGTAAAACACCTTTATAGCAGGGCAACTGTATCCACACTAGGGAGGTTATATTGTTTAACTATACTAATATTAGTTAAAGCAGTACAACTTTTGAGTATAGACGAGGCCTCAGTATAAGTGTATTGGCTCGGTACATAAAGCAGATTCAATTTCACGTGCTCTATAGACTTTAATTTAGATTTTGACATTAATTTAAACAAGTGGTTGCGATGCTTCATAACTCTTATGCACTGCACCCTTCTTACATATTGACTAATGTAAAGATGTAGATATGTGCCCAAACCACCCTTATATATGAACATTTAATATTACATAACAATGGTTTACACTGTATAATGATCTCAGTTTTGTCACTACTTTGCACACTTCACACAGATGAGGGGAGCAGACTTGAATCTCAACCAAATTTCTGCTTTTTAAAGCATACTGTGGCTACTAAAGCGAACATGATATTGGCATCATCTTGTTCCACAGATCTGTTTTCACCTAAGTGTCTTCTTTTAATGACAAATATACATTTTTAATTACTCCTGGTAGTGCTGCTAAACCAGTACAACTTCAGCAGAGCAAGCTATACAAGTTGACTAGTACAGCAATGGAAACATTGGCTTAGTTCTAACTGAGTAAGTTCTTAATTAGATCTTCGGTGGATCAGAATTGATGGTAATGATGTAAAAACCAAAGAGAACACATTAGTACTTTGAAATCTTGCTGTGAACTGTAGTTCTGCTGTAATAAAAAACCAAAAGTAACCTAAGAAACAGAAAAATTTATATGAAAGCCCTTGAAACACAAACATGGAACTATATGATGCTATTTCTACAGAGTCATGTTTAGAGCATAACCACACTTTAAATTAGTTGCTGGGCTCACTTCAGCAACTGTGGCTATAATTTATTTATATAAATAATATTTTCCCCCAGATATTTTCATCTTTAAGGTTCTAGATGTTAAGAATCTTCTTCTTTCTTTGACAGGAAATTCTGGTGATTAAAGATCATGGCAACCATAGAGGAACTGGCCCATCAAATTATTGAACAACAAATGGGAGAGGTACATATATATATATATATATATATTTAGTCCTATTTGAGACAAGTTGGACAATAAAGCATAATACTGATATGTAAAGATCAAAGACACAAGAGAGAATGGTCTCTAGTGGGCCCCAAGCTACACAAGACCCTCCCATAGAAGATTAGCAGGAATCCTGTTCTTGCTATCTTCACATCATGATGCAAGACTTGCATCTTTGTCAAAGCATTCCCCAAAGAAACTGAGCTTAAAAAAAGTAGCAGTATTTTCAAAGGTAGAAATCATTGACTAAATCAGTGGTTGTCATCATACAGCTGTTAGTCATATGAGGCAGGCTTTCCTCTCTTCTAGCATCAAAATTGCATTCTGCATACAGTGCCTGAATATTACAGTAATAGGTGCTTTTAGAAATGTATGAATAGATAGTAAAAAGTAGTGTTGTCAGCGTGTGTGTGTATAAATATAAAACACTTAAGGATTCATTAGTATATGTCCTGTTCAAAATCAATACAAGTGTGGTTATAAGAAAAATATATAAAAATGGCACCTGTTTACTTGAAATTTCTGCTCTTGGTTAATTTAGATTTGTCTTACTTTACAATTGAGTGAAGTATTCCAGGTGATTTCACGTTCAATTCATATCAGTTTTAACATTGAATAGAAAGGTTTTCCTCTTGGATTGCTAATTTTATATATGTTCTTATGCTACCTTCATCATTGTAGTATGTGTGTGCCTTCCATGGTGCATTAAGTGGCATGAGTAACATCTGTCATGTGTGGTTTATCCTTTCTCTCATCCTCTTCGGAGGTGTGTGTGTGTGTGTGTGTGTGAGAGAGAGATTTTGAGGGGTGTTGGCTTATTTTTGTTTGACGGTACACCCTGGCTACATGTTTATATTAGAAAAGGCAGGTTGAAGAAACACATTGCACTTTGGAGTGGAAGGTGGTGAGGTTTGATCTTAGCAACTGTGGGAGTTTATTCCACAGTCTTGGCCCAGCCAAGAATGCTCCATTTCCTGAACAGACAGGCTTTATATGGTAGCAAGTTCCCTTATGTCTGAGGGATGGAGATGTTGACCTCAGTCTTCATCCAGGTGCTTTAGTCAATCTTTTAGATATCCTGGGCCCAGGCCATTGAGTGCCATGAATTTAAGGATTGAGACTTTGCATTTGACTCCAGAATTCAGTCAGTCTGTGAATTTTTAAAAATTAAAAAAAAAAATACTCTCATCCCTGACTCATCCTTTTCACAGTAGCAATAGTTTATATCCAATTCAAAAACAGCAACAAAAGTCAAACTCATACTCAACAGATGGGGAGAGAGAAAGACAAGCAGCGTGGCTGGCTTCTTCTGTGGAAAGGCCACTTTAATTAGAATAACAGGCCCTATTTGCTCTTCCTGACAGAGTCCTGGCATGCTATTCTGTCAGTTCTTGTATTTTAGTTTGTTTAGTAAGAACACACCTGTCTTCCTTTATCCCACAGTTAAAGTAGAGGAAGGGAAGCAATTGTACTGTTTGCACCACAGCTAGTAACCTCTTTTCTTAAACTTGTGTGGGTTTGATTGCTTTGGTGTGCAAAATAGGTGGAGCTTATTTCTGACCCCCGACGTATTATCAGTAGGTCCAAACAGGCTTATACATTGCTGCTACAGTTTCCCTTTGTGAAGACAGACTTCTAGCATAGTAAGCAGGTGGTGCTGAAAACATTACTTTCTAGAGGATTTCCAGATACTAATAACTTAACCTTTTATTGTCCAGTTTTTAACTACCGCTGTTAGATAAAGTTATTGAGAAAGTGGTATTGGTGCCGATATAAAAGAGCCTAGATCTACTGAAGAAGCTTCAATTATGTCTTGATCTCGTTGGTGTATCTGACTAGTATGGAGACTGTGCTGTCATCTATGGCTGACTACCCAATACCAGTGAATGACACAAGTAAAATTTTCTTATGTCCTTTTAGACCAGTCACCAGTTTTGATAACATTGATCATAAAGTGATCTACGTGCAGAGTTTTGTGGTGGTTGATGGAAAGGATATTCTGTGGGTTGTTTCTCTGAGAGATCTCAAAGAGTAGCTGAATATTTGCTCTTCCTCCTTAGGGTCACTTGCATATGAGACTCCATCTTGTTAACTTTCAATGTGTATTTATGGTTGCTAAGGGAAATAGTAAGACGGTTCATCCCTGTACAGATGACACTTGTATATTTTCCTTTTGTTATATCCAGATGCAGCAATATCTATTGTTTTTCCAGTGTCTGAAAGAAGTGAAGTAGATGGGAACAAACTGGCCTCAGAGTCAGTGCCAACAGGTGGAGGGAAATATCTTGAAGAATGAACTGCGTGCTGAGTACACATTCTATTTTTGTGTATGCTCACCTTTGCCAATATAGTTTGGAATTTGGGGATTATATAGAATCCAACGTTGTTTTTGGATTTTCAGGTAGCAGCCTTTTTCATCTATAGTTGAACTACAGGATGCAGCTATTCTTCTCTCTGGTTATACTTATGCTGGATGCAAGCTTGTGACTTGCCCTTGGAAACCATATTTGAAGCTGCATGGAAGTTGAGCCAGTAATTCCAATAGCACTTGTAATTCACATGAACATTGATGAAATAATTTTCACTGAATTCACAAGCAAAATCCAGTTTGGGGTATATGTGCGCAAAAGAGACCTTTTCGCCCTACTTTTAAAGAAAACTAAGGATATTCACAGACCTGATATTTCATTAAGATACTGGAGTCACTAATAGCAGTTAGGGTAGTAACTAGATAGTAATTATTGTTCATAGAGTATTTTAGAAATGAAAAATCTATTAAGAGCATGATCTTTGGAATAGATTGCAATGATGTATTTTGCAAAACCTATTAAATATATGCAGATTAGAAGCAAAAGAAAGTTTTTTATTTTTAAAAAAATTCCTAGCTACAATTTAAGATTACCTATATGAAGCATTACATAGAGTGTACCGTCTCATAAATCTTCTGCCCAATACTATCCACTTCCTACCAAGAATGAGGTAGTTCTTATCCCCAAATCATGGTCAGGTATTTCTGCCAGTCAAGAACTTGCAATAGCTCTCTCTCATAATCTGTGGAGCTGTAAAGTAATTACATAGTAGTTTATCCATTTCCTCATGTGCTGCCAAATTCCAGTTTCAGTTAACATCTGTGAAAGCAAATAAGTATCCACCACAAACACGTAAAACTTGATATTTAACAAATACGTTGGTTACACTGTGACAAATAGTATTTAATGTTTTTGTTAATACATCCATGAACAATATAAAGTTTCTTTCAAACATTTAAACTTATACTGCTGCATGTCAATAATTAGCAATTTCATCTTCTTTAAAGTGTATGAGAGCTTTAAAGAAACAACTGTATTTCAGTCCTGGAATAAATAATTCTGTAGCTACAGCATAGGAACCATCATTGCCAGTATGAGAGAACATATGGAGAAGGACCACAGAACACTAAAAAGAAAAGTCTAGAATAAGAAAGGTCTACACAAGGTATCAGAAAAGCACCATCTGCCTGTAAATTACCACCAGTACAGGTCATTTAGCGGGTATCTCAGAAAATTTTGCCTGAAAGGGGTCTTTTCTTTGCAATCATTATATAAGTCTAAAATATTATTTATTTGTATTCTATTATAATATCAATAATGAACCCTCTCATTTCTGCTTGAAATTTCTTCATTGTAGTCTTTAGCCAAAAAGTATTTTGGGAAGTCTGAAATTAGAGAAAGTGTTTAATTTATTGGAGGCTGTAAAGGGGTTTTCACTTTCGTAAAGTCTGACTTTTTTTGTAATGCAGTATTGCAAAAATGAGTTGGTTTAGAAACTTCATTTTTTATTTATTCAGTAATCCTAGGAGAAATCTAGTGAATAGAGCTATTTTTATTAGACTAGTTCAAATCTTGGGTATTGCTATTAACTATAGAAATGTGAACATTCGAGAGCTCCTGGCAGAGTTTATAGACTCATTGATCAGTTTTATGGAGTTTACAAGCTCTGCAGACACACAACAGAATTTGTAAACTGTATAATCGAAATAATTCCAGTATGAAGATTTGGAAAATCAGCAGTGATTGTAAACTCTTTAAGACAAATAGTTGTATGCAGTGGTGTTATGGTCATGTCAGTTTTAGGATATTAGAGAGACGAGACAGATGAGGTGATATCTTTTATTGAACTAACTTCTGTTGGTGAGAGAGACAAGCTTTCAAGCTATACAGAACTTGACTGGTCCCTTAGAATTTGTACTAACTACTTATGCTAAACCAGGGGTCAGCAACCTATGGCATGCATGCCAAAAGCAGCACGCGAGAAGATTTTGAATGGCACTCACATTGCCCGGGTCCCAGCCATTGGTCCCGGGGGCTCTGCTGCCACCCTGGGTCCCGGATGCTGGCCCCACTCAGCCCGCTACCGGCCCCAGGTCCCGGTCCCAAGTCCCGGGGGCACTGCTGCCGGCCTGGGGTCCTACTGCTGGCCCCCTGCCACTCGGGTCCCAGCCACTGGTCCTGGGAGCTCTGTTACCATCCTGGGGTCCCAGACGCCAGGCCGGGGCTCTGTTCCTGGCCTCAGCCTGGGGCTCTGCAGCCACCCCCAGCTGTGGCCACTGGCTCCAGTCTGGGGCAGTGAGGGATGTAGACAGGGGCAAGAGGGATGCAGACAGGGGCAAGAGGCAGCACCCCCACCTTAAAAATTCTTCCAGCGCCCACTGTACTGGGATATTTTTAAATCCTGATTTGCTGCTTGCATCACTATCACGTCATGTGGAAGAGCACATTGCGTTTGACCTTGTGCGTGCTGTCTGTCGCGATTTTTTTTTCCCCACTGTAAATTGAGGGGTATATTTGACAAAATGTCAGCTCCTAAGAAAGCAAAGTTAGATGTCTGTTCATTTCAGCCTTCTTGGACAGACACATTTGGATTTATTCAAAAGAAGGACCTGCTATTTGTGCTTTCTATTGTGAAAGTATTGTTTGTCGCACATCAAGTGTTTGACGACATTTTCAAACGAAGCACGAGAAAACCTTTCTTGAGGAAGCAGACAAGAGTGAATTGATCAAAAAGGCAGTAGCAGGATATGAGAAGCAAAGCAGTGTTTTTAAATGCTTAAGTGTAAGTAAAAATCAAGCCACAGAAGGAGGTTACAAGATTGCACAGTGCATTGCAAAAAAATGGAAACCCATTTACAAATGGGAATTATAAAAGAAGTTTTTCTCAGCAATTCGGGAGGTTTTGTTCAATGATTTGCCAAATAAATATGCGTATGTAGAATAAAAGAACTGCTTGTCTCTGCCAGAACAGTTGAGAGACGCGTAAACGAAATGGTAGAAAACATTAACGAAAAGCAGACGACTGCATTAAAAGAAACAGCAGTGTTTAGCGTTGCAGTTGATGAGAGCGTGGAGATAAACGACATTCAACATTTGGCAGTTGTTGCAAGATGCTTCTGATGAAATCCAAGAGGAGCTTTGTTGCCTAAAACCCCTGTATGGCACAACAAAGGGAGGAAGATATAGCAGAAACTTTTGTAAACCATTTTGAAGAATGAGGAGTTGACATTAGAAAAATATTTTGTGTGACAACAGATGGTGCTCCCGCCATGGTCGGAAAACAGAAGGAATTTGTAAAGTTACTTGAAGATCAAATTGGCTGCCTGACAGTCAAATTTTACTGTATCATCCATCAAGAAAACCTGTGTGCTAAAATTTCTAATTCAGAGCTTAATAATGTGATGAATACAGTGGTGCAAATTGTGAATGTCCTTGTTGCTCGATCTGCTTTGACTCTCAGACAGTCTCAAGCACTGCTAGAAGAGATGGACATTGCTTATAATGACATTCAACTTCATCGGAACTTTTGGTGGCTAAGTCATGGCAAGGTTTTGGTGCGCTTTGTAAACTGTTTTGATGCAATCGAGGCCTTTTTGTTGGAAAAAGGACAAAACTACCCCAACTGGATGATGATAAATGGCTTTGTTAACTCATGTTTCTAACTGACATCACCGCTCACCTAAATTAACTCAACCTCCATCTCCAGGGTGCAGGGCAAACGGGTTTGGATCTTTATGAAGCCCGGAAGGCATTTGTTGTAAAACTAGCAGTTTTTTCTTGGGATATTCGAACTTCAGCTTTCTGCTACTTCCAACACATAAAAGAGCTATCGACACGTTGCACTGTCAGTGTCAATGAGATTGGAATGTGCATGCAAGAACTGGAACCAGAATATTCTGACAGATTTCAAGATTTCCAGCGATTTGGCCCAATGCTTTCTTTTCTAATTAAACCTGAAAAGTTCAACGAAAGCAACTTGGATTTGGCTGTATTTCAGTGGATGGGTGTTGAAGATTTCGAAATGCAGCTCATTCAGTTAAAAAGCTCAGAATTGTGGGCATCAAAGTTTGGAGATCTGCGGTGTGCACTTAAAGCTACCGAGAGAGTCTTGGGGCCTCTATTCTGACCTGCTGGACATCTCTGCCAGTGAAATTTAACTGTTTGAAGAAAATAGCGTTTGCAATGCTTTCAGCATTTGGATCCACATACCTGTGTGAATGGGTATTTTCACACATGAAATCTGTCCTCTGTCCCTTTTGGAGCCGGTTAACAACTGATCACTCAGAAACCTGTGTGCAGCTTAAAGTATCCAAATACATACCAGACATTGGAAAACTCAGAAAGGAAAAGCAAGAGCAAGGGTCACAGTAAACTGATGAGATCTGCATTTTAATTTAATTTTAAATGAAGCTTCTTAAACATTTTAAAAACCCTATTTACTTTACATACAACAATAGTTTAGTTATATATTATAGAGAGAGACCATCTAAAATATTAAAATGCATTACTGGCACACGAAACATTAAATTAGAGTGAATAAATGAAGATTTGGCACACCACCACGACCCATGCTTTAGAGCCTACAAGTCCACTCAGTCCTACTTCTTGTTCAGTCAATCAATAAGACAAACAAGTTTGTTTACATTTACGGGAGATCGTGCTGCCTGCTTCTTATTTACGTCACCTGAAAGTGAGAACAGGCATTCACATGGCACTATTGTAGCCAGTGTTGCAAGGTATTTACGTGCCAGATATGCTAAACATTCGTATGCCCCTTCATGCTTTGGCCACTATTCCAGAGGACATGCTTCCATGCTGATGATGCTCATTAAAAAAATTAGTGCTTTAATTAAATTTGTGACTGAACTCCTTGGGGGAGAATTGTATGTCTCTTGTTCTGTTTTACCCGCATTCTGTCATATATTTCATGTTATAGCAATCTCGGATGGTGATCTAGCACATGTTCATTTTAAGAACACTTTCACAGCAGATTTATAGAATCATAGAATATTAGGGTTGGAAAAGACCTCAGGAGGTCATCTAGTCCAATCCCCTGCTCAAAGCAGGACCAACACCCACTAAATTATCCCAGCCAGGGCTTTGTCAAGCCGGGCCTTACAAACCTCTAAGGATGGAGATTCCACCACCTCCCTAGGTAACCCATTCCAGTGCTTCCCCACCCTCCTAGTGAAATAAACGCAAAGAAGGCACCAATGTGAGATTTCTAAAATTAGCTACAGCATTCAACCCAAGGTTTAAGAATCTGAAGTGCCTTCCAAAATCTGATCAGGACGGTGTGTGGTGCATGCTTTCATAAGTCTTAAAAGAGCAAACCCTGATGAGGAAACTACAGAACCCGAACCACCAAAAAAAAAGAAAATCAACCTTCTGGTTGCATCTGACTCAGATGATGGAAATGAACATACATCGGTCCGCTCTGCTTTGGATCGTTATTGAGCTAAACCATCGTCAGCATGTCCTCTGGAATGGTGGTTGAAGCATGAAAGGACATATGAATCTTTAGCACATCTGTGATGTAAATATCTTGTGACGCTGGCTAAAACAGTGCCATGCGAACTCCTATTCTCACTTTCAGGCGACATTGTAAACAAGAAGCGGGCAACATCTCCTGCAAATTGTAACCAAACTTGTTTGTCTGAACGATTGGCTGAAGTAGGACTGAGTGGACTTGTAAGCTCTGAAGTTTTACATTGTTTTATTTTTGAATGCAGTTTCTTTTGTACATAGTTCTACATTTGTAAGTTCAACTTTCATGATAAAGAGATTTCACTACAGTATTTGTATTAGATTAATTGAAAAATACTATTTCTTTTGTTTTTTACTGTGAAAATATTTGTAATCAAAATAAATATAAAGTAAGCACTGTACACTTTGTATTCTGTGTTGTAATTGAAATCAATATATTTGAAAATGTAGAAAACTTACAAAAATATTTAAATAAATGGTATTCTATTATTGTTTAAGAGCACGATTAATCATGATTAATTTTTTTAATCGCACGATTAATCGCAATTAATTTTTTTAGTCGCTTGACAGCCCTAATCATAATTTAATTGTGCCAAATCATTGTTTAAACCATCAAAAGTACTAGAAATAGTTAAAGCCCTGTGTTGTATACATTATACTTGACTTAGTGTATGTGGAACTTTCACCAGTCCAGTTAGTATTGTGTTTGTTTGGTTTTTTACTTTAAATTCAAATTACTTTACATTGCCTCCAAATTTTAAATTTAATGTGCTGCAGATTTTTATACTGAAAATGAGTAAATGACTGGAAGAATTTGTCAGGGGAAAGCTGAGGGTTATAACAGCTGAGTAGAGAACAATTGGCACTCATGGAGATGTGCAAGGTGGCTTTGATTTTTTTATTTCTGGGAGGCAGTTGAGGAAAATGGTATTGGAGAGGGAATGCATCTCGTCTTTCTCTACTACTTTTGAGCAGAAGCAGGTGCCTTAAAATTTTGAGGGGAGGAGCTGAGTTTCTGTTTCTTAACTTTTTGAATTGTTGGAAGTAAAGAAACATCAAATTTGGAGACCTACATGATAGAGTGCACACATGAAGTAGGATATCAAAATTAAGATGGCAAAAGGTAAAATACCATTATTTTTCCCCCCTCTCGCTTTACTTTTCTTGTGGTGTCTCTTGCTATCCTTCTCTTTTGTTCTTTCTTGTTGTTTCTCCTTTTCACTGCTTTAGCTGACAGCTGAAGAGAAATGGAATAACACTGTGCTTCTGCATATAAGTGCTTCCAACAGTTCCACTGAACCCTTAAGTTAAAAGTGCTTCCATGCAAAAGCATGTCCCTACTATAAAATCATAGAATTGTAGTACTGGAGGGGACTTCGAGAGGTCATCTAGTCCAGTCCCCTGCACTCTCGGCAGGATTAAATTTTATCTAGACCATCCCTGACATAGAATGAATATAAACAAATAACACAAGTATGGAGGGACAAAATTAGAAAGGCCAAGGCACAAAACAAGATTAAACTAGCTAGAGACATAAATGGTAACAAGAAAACATTCTACAAATACATTAGAAGCAAGAGGAAGACCAAGGACAGGGTAGGCCTGTTACTCAATGAGGGGGGAAAACAATAACAGAAAATGTGGAAATGGCAGAAGTGCTAAATGACTATGATTCATTTATAGCTATCCATTCTTGCAGATACCAGCTGGAACAAACAAGAAAATAAGCAGCTTGATTAAAGCAGCTTGTATTCCGTATGTGTTGATCGACAATTCATTTCCCCCAGTCATGTTTTGCCATAAATATATTTCTGACTTTTGGATCCAAAATTGTGAAATGGCTTTAAAACTGTGGAACCAGTAGAACTTTCTAACGAACAAAAGCTAGCTAGTAAAATTAGGTTGTACGCTGCTACATTCCCAAACCGTACCAGTGTCTCACTTTGAATAATATTTTGCTGACACATCTGAAGCTGGTCAAACCTTAATGTGGCACAGCAGTATTTTCACATAGCTGTCATTCCAATTATTTATTTGTTTGTTTCTAGATTGCGCATTCCCAAGGAACTGTTACTCAAACACTAATGGATGGGACAGCACAAAGAATACAAATTGTCCCAGCGGATTCAGGTCTCTCTTTACCACAACGCATACAAGTATGTTTAATCTAAAATATTTTGAAAGAATCTGTGAACTACTTTACTCTGCCTGTTTTTGTGCACCCTTCCTTTTGTGAACATTTAATGATCTCTTCTAAAATGTGAAAATTTTACCCAGAGGGAGACTCCTTCTGTGTCTAGTGGAGATGAAGGACAATAGGGGTGGGGCTTCACATTGTTTCTTGCTTTCTAAGATGAAGAGTTGCATAAGAAGCACTTACACAAGTGCTTTCTGTGTCACTCTAAGGGCTTGGCTACACTTGCGAGTTAGAGCGCATTAAAGCAGTCCCGGGCGCCCTAGCTTACTACCCGTCCACACTGGCAAGGCACGTATTGCGCTCTGACTCCAGGGCTAGAGCACTCCTGGTACTCCACCACAGCGAGAATATTAACGCTTGGTGCACCTTGGCTGAAACGCCCAGGCGTCAATGTGGACGACGTGTTGCATTACTGTGCTCTGATCAGCCTCCGGAAATATCCCATAATCCCCTTAAGTCAAGGGGCCACTCTTGTCATTGTTTTGGAATCACTGCAGGAATGTGGATATGTCCTTTGAAAGTTCCATTTCTGAGAGCCGGCATGCTTATCTGCTCTGAGACAAAGCAACCATTACTGTGGAATGCTATGTGTGAGAGAGAGAGAGACCGGGGGGGGGGAGGGGGAGGGAGGAAGTCTGCTGCTGTCTGAATTTATAAGACAGTATGACATGCTCTCAGCCCCACAAAAACCCACTCTCTCTCCCACCACATACACACAATACACTCCCTGTCACACTCCACCCCACCCCATTTGAAAAGCACGTTGCAGCCATTTGAATGCTGGGATAGCTACCACGATGCACTGCTCTCTGTGGCCATTGCCAGAGCTGCTAATGTGGCCACGCCAGTTCACTTGCAGCTGTCAGTGTGGACAGATTGCAGAGCTTTCCCTACTGTGCTCTACGAAGGCTGGTTTAACTGAAAGTGCTCTACATCTGCAAGTGTAGCCATGCCCATAGTCTCCTTTAGCCAGTAATTGAAATGATATGGTTGGAGTCCAAGCTGGCAACAAAAAAGCAAAAGGGGTACCTAGTCTCTGCTCCAAGAGTTTACCTGTTGAACACTAAAGAGGTGGTTCAAGCTGTTACAAGGCATAACATGGTAACATTGTTAAAAGGCTGAGTTTTTACATTTGGTAATTCAGCAGATACGTTTGAAAGGCTCTGTGGTGTATCTTTGGAAAATACTTGTAGATCATAGTAAGAAATATATTTTTCTTTATATTATCAATACACCATGAAAATGTGTTATTGGCCCACTTTTAAACCGTATTGGTAGGGAATTTTTTTATTGGTTACACTGAGAAAAATCCCCCACCTTAGTAGAATACCTGATAGTGTCCATATGACATGTTCCCCCCTCCTCCCTTTTTGTATTTCACCTTAAAATCTTTTTTGTAACTAATTTTCTCTGTAAGATGCCATATTGCATTAAACACATTCAATTAAAAATGTGGCTGCTAGGGTCATTTTCCTTGCCTGTTGCTCTGACTGCAACACTCTCTTCAAATTCCTCCACTGGCCCTTCCTTCCACTGCATTTTGCCCTGTTTCTTGTCCTAATCCTTCAAGGCCATTCACAGCTCAGTCCCTCTCTACATGTCCTCTTTTGTCACTTATTACATCTGCCCCGCTTCCTCTGCTCCACGAACAATACAAGCCTAACTACTCATCTTCAGCTGTCTCTGTGCTATCTTCCATGCTAGCCCTTATTCATGGAACACCTTTCTTAATTAATCCATAACCCTCTGCTCCTTTCCCTCTCTCCTTAAAACCTGCCTTTGTTTTTATGCTCATGTAACGTGATGTCCCTAACTTGGTTGTCAGCATTAGAAATTGTACCTGGGACGACACCAGGGGAGGGATATCGCAGTGGTTTGAGCATTGGCCTGCTAAACCCAGCGTTGTGAGTTCAATCCTTGAGGGGGCCATTTAGGGTACTGAGGTAACAAAAAACTGTCTGGGGATTTGTCCTGCTTTGAGCAGAGGGTTGAACTAGATGATCTCCTGAGGTCCCTTCCAACCCTGATGTTCTATGATCTACTGCCTGATCTAAAATACTAGCTCTGTTATCTCAAAGCCTGTAGCAGACTCATAAACCTCTATTGGTATTTGAACCTAGAGGGTCAGGTGGGCTTGGATTTGGGTGGCTAGCCTGAGGCACTGCCTGTGCAGCAATGTGAACAGTGCAGTTTTTAGCGCACTAGCTCAAGCAGAGCTAGCATGAATCTGTCTACCCGTGCTGGGAGTCACGCCTCCCATCTGTAGAGTAGTCATCCCTGTGTGGTTCATCCACTAGAGATAAGGCTCTGTGTTTGTCATGGAGATCATGGACTTTCCCTCACCTCCATGACTTCTGCAGCGGCTGATTGCCTGGCCTGGGGGCCGCCTGAGCAGCTGGGGCAGCCCCCAGGCCAGGCTCACCGGCTGCTGCTGGAGCAGTCTCTCCCCACCCCAGCAGCAGATTCTTGGGGGGAGGGGGGAGCTCAGGGCTAGCGATTCGGGGTGCGGCGCAGTGCGTTA